TATTAAAATTAAATTTGTTTAAAGCTTCAATTTTTATAATATGCAGGAAAAATGTAACAATCTAATACCACTAACTAAAATTTTAAACTAACAACTGAAGTTAATCTAAAACTAAAGTTATTTAGGGAACGTCTTTTAAGTCAAAATATGTACGTAATTTGGAAGGGAAAATTTAAAGCGAAAAAAAAATTTATAAACTATGAATGTTTTGGTAAATGATTTTGTTCTTAAGAACCTGGTTTTCAATTATCATCATTTTCATTTGGCGAGTTTTTTAACCCAACCTCAGCAGTATTCGAATTTTGTGTAAAATATTTACAATTACAAAACATATCCAAAATTAAAACTTAATCTACTGAATTTATGCGTTAACAATTAAGAGCAGTGTGAATAAGAAACTCGAGGAATCGTTTTTCAAAAACGTCCAATTTTTCAATATGAAAGCAAATCCATAAGCCAATCCGATTTCAATAAAATTATTACTTATAGAAATAAAATTTAATAAAAATGATTTGCATCTACAAATAAATTTAAAACCATAACTTGTTATCAACATTTTTTCCTTATAATAATTTTACGTTTTAGGTTTCATAATTAATTATTTTTTGCTAAGAAGCAATCTTTTTAAATACCCAATATCTGACAGAATAATTACTATGTGGATAAACGTCTATATACTCTAACTATATAGTCTTTACGTCATTTATATTTTTTTATACATACATAAATAGTGTTAGTAGAATTTAAAAGCTAATAATACGTTAAGGAAGGGTAAAGTATAAGACATATTAGTTCCAATATAACAATAACTCTTGCGCTTATTAATAACTTTTTTCTTCAATTTGATTTAGATACTTATACAGAAAAAGGGTAAACCTACCTTACAACAGCTAATGAAAATATCCGAACGGAAATGTATAATTTGTATTCCTAATGATTTATGTATGTTTTTAAGTGTAGATTGAATTCATGAATGTGGTGTCTGGTACGTGTAATATAAGCCTAAACGTATATTTAAAGCATTTCACAACTTAATACAATTTTAGTAATTATCTCTTTCCTAAACAAGCAGACTTTCAATTTTTATTCAATTTTATTTAAAAGTAACTAGGTAATTTAATTTTCGTTGCATTTGTACATGTGTTTACACAAAAATTTCATATTATATTTTCTGTTTAATGTAAAATAAAAGTAAAATAAAAAAATTCTAACGCCAAAAAAATTAAGTTCATTTTCGTTTTAAAAAATTTACTTGTAAAATTTTGTTCATGTTCGCGATCCATTGATAAATAATCTTACTCCAAATTACGCCTCTCTTACACTTAAGTACACCTATATAAAAGAGTTAAATATCAGGAATAGTTATACGCACATTTTTTCCTACAGATGACCTTAATAAAATATTTTACAATAGATGGATTTTTTTCTATTCCTGCTTTCAAATCGCAGATACTTTCACTTGATTTTAAAGGTTTGACATCTGTATAGTTAAAGCATAAATGCCAAAAATTTAACTTAATTTAGCTAAAATAGCTGATGATTTTAACCTCGAGCTAAATTTAAATTAAGCTACATAAGAATTGTATAAATGTAAATACTCGTATATGAAACTTATGAAACAAATTTATTTTGACGTGTAGTTTGTAAATGACGTGTAAGTTGTTATTAAAAGTTGGAAAAATTTAAAATATTTCAAAATCAATTTTAGTAAACGACGGTAAGAAAACAAATTGCAAACGTCAGAACGCTTATAAATTTTCTAATAAAATAGTTAGATTTTCAAATGTCAATATAATTACAAAATGTGAAATCTTTGAGACAAAACTTTGTAGGCTAGTTTTTACATCAGAATGGCACTGTTTGTATATACGATGAACTCTAAGATTCGCCTAAGTCTGATGAAAGTCATACATATGTGTAAACACTAATTGACATCAGACTTTGTCTGAGGGCAAAAAATAGAAATTAGTGTATTCTTATTTCAAATTTGATCTTAGACTTTTTTAAATAAAAATGGCAACAATTAATATTTTGCAAAAAGTTTTAAAAAGCGATCAGCTGATGATTATTTTGGTTATAATTTTCGTAGTATATTGTTAAATTTTGACGAAAAGTCTGGTAATGTCAGTCTGATACGTAAACAGCCATCTTGAGTCAGCGTTTGTCGTAGATATACATATGTAAACAGTACCTAGAATTTTATTGTGTAAATAATCTTTAAAAAATATAAAAAACAATTGAAATTTTAATATCTTGCAAAAATTTGATCTTTTAGTGCAAATTAATGAAACAATTTTAAATGAATTTTATGAAGCACTCGTTACTAAGTACTAGTACTAATTTTTTCAATAGAGTGGCGTCAAAATCTATTTGGGGGGGAAATATTTTATTTGTCAAAATTTTACGGTTATACAAATATAAACTTCATATTATTATATAGTATACTACAACTAATTACTTAATAAGTTGGAAACAAATATAAATATTGTACTACTTCATTAAGCAAATATATATGTACATATGTATGTGTACAAGAAAATATACATACATGTAACAAATATACAAGATCTATTGTTGTCGAATAGAGAGAGTTTTCATAATACATAAATGTATTGATTTTGACACTGTTTATGGTATTTGTTACGTACATATTGAGTGTATTCATTAACAGTTTAATTAACACTTCGTAAACTAAAATTTATACTTGAAGTCATAAAAATAACTTAATGTCAAAACATAAAAAATGCCATTAAAAATCTTAATGTTGTATGTGTAATCGATAATGAAGTGGATCGAAATTTTATTATGGCAGCATAATTGTTGTAATAATAATTATTCAAGTTTTATAGTATTACCATATAGTATAATATACCAGTCGTCTAAACCTAATTATAACGAGCGTTACTGATGAATAAATGAAATGAAAGCATAAACTTATTTTTTTTTACTCCATCCAATAAAAATTCTGTATTAGTGGGATGAAAATAGGGCAACTTTTTAAATTAGGAATCGAATTACGCAATATGAAAAAATAATATGCTTCATCTATACGAAAACTTAAAATGTGATTATTTTGTATAGATGCGCGTATCGCAATTTAATCGGCAATAATTTTGTTTAACTCATAGATTATATACCCTTGTAAGGAAACTGAAACCTTATTGAATTTACAAAATAATGTTAAACAATAATGAACAATAATAAACTCTTACGTAAAAAATCTTATCTAGGAATAATTTTTGGCAGGGCTGTACGAACTCGTTAATAAAGAATAAAAAAAAAAAGATTTTCATTTTTTTTCTAAAAATCTAAAAAATTTGCTTTCAATTAGTCGCGAAAGAGAATATATATGCGTGTTGCTTATTCTTATGTTCGTAGAGTATTATGAATTTACCATGTCGTTTTTAATGTTGCGAAAGAATGATTTTTAACGCTCCGAAGAAATGTATATCGCATATGTCTTTTTTAATTATCGCATATTCCAACAATAACTCAAACAGTAATAGGGCTAACTTCAAGCTAAGGATGTTTGGCCTCATATTAAAACCTTTGGAATTTAATAATGGTAATTAAATTTAGCAGAGATGAACATACAAATTAAGATGTTCGGAATTGTTATGATAGTTGCCATATAACTTTCATCAAATGTTACAAAATATTTGGGTCATAATATCGATAACTTATTATTGACAAAATCTTATTGGTAACCTCGATTGTAACGACTGTGAAAAGGACGATAGCAACAGCATATTTGGTTTTGATATAACAACCATAGAAACTGATACTCGTATTTGAATGATAACATCTCAAATATTAAAAAGAGATGTAGTTGAGAAAATTAAACTTTCATAACCAGATTCGAAACTGAGAAAATTTTATTTTTCAATTGCAATATTGTTGTTATTGGATACGAATAAAATTTTGTACATTATTGGTGATGTTGCTTCGGAATATGTTACTCTCTTAGACTCGATAATATTGTCACTATTGTTACCAATATGATGTTATTTATAGCTTAAAATGGTAATTTTTCTTACAACTTCATATCAACAATAATTCATATTCATCCGTACAAATACAACATAGTTGATTCGTTCAACTTTACTTATTCTTAACATGAATATGTTTTGAAATTTATGCATACGCATACATACTTGTATTATATATCGTTTGTTAAGAGTCGCATTAGCGTTGTATAAATGTTTAAAGAGTCATGGACGATATGCCGGAAGGAAAACAAAAACCTTCTTTGAACATTATGTGGCGATTAGAATTTGATTTTTATTTAATACCTTAAAGAAATTTTGTTACAACTACATTATTTGTTTTATTTATTTTAAAAATATTATGAATATAATTAGTTTTATTGCATGTAAAAATAGATTATTATAATGAAATAATTTTAAGATTTCGTCAACAAAATTTTTTCAAGAATTGAGGGGGATACGAAATTGGATTTTGGCAAAGAATTGAGATCTTTTAGTTTTATGTTCTTTTTTTTCAGAAATGGGCACACACCTTCTATACACAAATTTGTAAAATATCTTTGAAATTAAAAAAGAATGACATTTCATTCAAAAAAGTTGGATTATGATTTTATACAATAAAATGAACTATGTATGTATTTTCGCTTATTATAGTGGTTCAAAAATTTACAATTAAAAGCGACTCTTTAATTGGATGAATAAATAAAAACGTAACTGCTCCTAGACAACTTGTCTAACTTTTACTCATATTATTAGTTAATTAATTTGATTATATATATACATATGTCTGTGACGTATGTTTAAGTACGTGCAAGAACTTTGACAAATAGGAAAATGTATACAGAAATATTTAAGTTTAATTAAAACTCTTAATTTGAAGTGTCGAAGTTTGAAAATTGACACTGTGCAAAGTGTCAAAAAATTTTTTTTTTCATTCAATCTGTTTGTCAATATTAAGAATGTTCCAGTTTGTACATGTTTTTTTCATTTAATTTAATTTTTTTTTAATTGCAGAAAGAATTCACTGATGATTGCATCTTTAATGAATCCATGGAAGAACATCATTATAATACATACTCATCAACATATAATTCTAATTCAAGACATACTTTATATCTAGCTTTAAATAGACACGGTGAACCTCGCAAATTACAAATACCGCCATCACGAAGCTTAGGTAAATTAGCAACATATACAAAATCATTAACGGAAAGTGTTTCAGATGATAGAGCTCAAAAATTAATTAGTAAATTATTTGGACCAAATCGAGTGAAACACGGTGTTCATCATCTTTGTGATGCTGGTAAACCATTAGTTAATTTAACTAAAGCTATGTTGAAACGTCCTCCAAAATGTAAAGAGGATAGTGCAACAACAGTGACAACTTTATCAACATCTACAGAGCATAACAAAAAACGTAGAATAAGCGCTTATAAAGAAAATAATAATAGACGTAGTAATAATAATAATAATAACAATAATAATAATAATAATAGTACCATAAACGGAAATTTTACAAATACTATTGTAAACAGTAGTTTTAGTAGGACTATGACCAATATTAAAAAGACAGATAATATTAATAGAAATGAAAACAAAAAGCATTGTGGTGGCAACGGAAATGCTCCTAAAAAGAAAAAACGAAAACAAAATGAACAGGGTAATAATCGATGCAACAAGGGACCTCAAAACTCCTCTAAAAAACATAATTCAGGCCAGAATAAAAAATTAAAACACCAAACTACAACGACAACCACAGTCGCATCAATAACGATAAACACAACGGAAAGCAATAATAATCAAACAACTATTAAAAAAATCTAGGAAACAGAAAAATAATGTGATCAGATACTCCTTATTAAGAAAAGGACACTAACAATAACAAGGCGCTCAGTAAATGCTTTTTAGATGTCAAAATCAAACAAAAAAAAGCGTAGGCAAACCGCCATTGTAGGAATATCCGTCATAGCTAATTTGCAGCAGAAGTTAATCTTCTCAATACAATTAAGTTATATCGAATTAGAGTTCATAAAATAAGGACAGCTTTAAAAGAAAAATCAAAAAAGTAATGAAATGTCATCGTTTCAATGAACAGATTAGCGCACATTATTATTGAATTGAACTTCTGCTAAGCGATGACAGCCGTATATTATCGGTACGTTTAATATGTTGTACCGTATGGTGATTATCATTGACGACGGAAAACTGTTACAGAAATGACAGATATTAAATTTGAGAGTTATGCTTTTGGAATTGAAAGAAAATTCATTCTTTTGATCTTGAATTTAAGATTTGTTCTGTATGTCGGAAATAATTATAACGATTGGGTGTTTTATATTAATTTTTATATTCAAAGAGCTGATTATTGTTAATTCTGTGTACAATGGTTATAAAATAAAATTTTGACAATAATTAAATTTGAATATTTACAAAACAAAAAAAAAAGAGAGTGTGAAATAAGTTTCTTTTTTAAGCGAAGCTTTTTTTCCCTTATTTCAAATTGTTAAAATATACTCGAAAATTTTAAGAGAGTAATAAAATTTTATTTAACTTGACGAATAATTTTTGAATAAAAAATTAAGTTTTTTTATTCCAAAATATAACGAATCGAATAAAAATAGTTTTAAAAATTAGAAAATGTTGTTTCTTACCAAATGCTTCCACGTTCTTAAACAAGATTGATTGTTGGTTCCAAAACTTCCAATCAACGTTTTTTTTCTCTTTATGTTGTTAGAAAGTCAAAGTTTCTGAATTTAGTTATAGCGTTTTACAGTAAAATTACTTCTAAAAATCTGTTAAAATTTTAAAATCTTAATTGGTTTGAGTTGGTTGATTGAAAATGTTGTGACGAAGACTTGAATTTGTCAATTTAATAGTCTTTTAATTATCAAGCATTTTGCATTACAAAAACCTTGAAATTGCTAAATTCCAACGATAACGTAAGTGTTTTCAATATGCGGCTTTTCTAACAAATTTCCTAAAAATTTTATTAAAAAAGTTTAAAAATTACATAAAATTTCTTCAGAGTTTCGCTTACATATTCCTCAATATTTTATTAAAAAATTTTGAAAATTACCACATAAAATTTCTTCATAGACACCGATTTCTAAGAATTTCCTGGCAAATTGTTCTTCACGTTGTTTTTTACAGTCGTTATAGTTACCTACATATGTACATGTATTGCTTAATTATACGATTAATTCAAACTTTGACTTTTATGTAAGTTTAATTTCGATTTCTGAAAAAATATCTTTTTGCAGATAGTTCAATCTTCTTTTCCGTCGATGACTTATTTTCAAAAATTGTCTAATAATATACAACTTCTTTTAAGTTTTTCTCTATTATTTCGCAGTTTTGTAATTTACAAAGATTTTACAGATTTTGCCGAGAGATAAATTTTAAAATACATATTATTTTTTTCTTAATTATTTTGTTAGAACCAAAAAGTTAAAGTGATTAATGTCAATTCAGATTAATTAAAAAATTAAAAATAAAAAAATTGAAAAACTTGTATGTAAAATCGCTGATATTTAATTTGATATAAATTATCGAATTAACAAGTTTGTACTTCTTTTCTGCTTTTATGTGATATTGAATGAAATTTCTCTAGGCTCCTATATTAAATAAATATGTATAACATGCAATTATTATCTTGACATTTTTCATAAGGCATACAAAATGTTTGGCGAATAGTAATTATTGTAAGTAAAAACATTATAATTTTTTTTGCGCAAACATTTGTGTATTCAATGACAAAATTCACTTTAAAAATATTTCTGATACATAATTTTTTAAGTGACTTTTGACTCATTTATGTCTCATATGTAGTAATTCACTATGTAGCTACGAATATTTGTGCTTCACAGTGCTTCATTTTTAATAAAGTTCTTATAATAATCCGCAAGACTCTTTATATGTTCATATATAGCATTTCCATATCCTTAGACTGTTTCCGCACCATTCGCTCTAGCTCTTGTTTCTACAACTAACTACTTACATTTTCTGAACGTTCCATACGTATTGGAATGTATATTAGGGTTCTAAATGTATTTTTGACGTTTTGAGTACGTAGTAAATGGTAAGTAGCACATCCAAACAGATTTTAATTAATTATTTTTTTATTTTTCTGAACAATTTCTATGAGTATTTTTATTCTTTATTTTCATTTTATAAAAATAAATGGTTGTTTTTTAAAAAATGACTTAAGTAAAATGAAAAGAAAAATTGTAGGCTTTTACATACAAACAAAAAACGACAATACTAAGCAAAAAGAATTCTTACATACGTATTGCTCTAAAACTGTACTCACCCATACTCAATTATCACAATATTTTACACACTTTAGTTTTTTCCGAAGCTAATAATAACATTTACCAAATTTTTAGGAGCAAAAGAAGTTTTTTTCAGAATGTGCTCGTAAATGATGTAGAGGTTGAATTTATCTTAGTAGATTGATTAAATTAAGTGCCGCAATTAAATGTAGATTTTATAACTGATAGATTTAGATTTCTCATTTAAATAAGTTAAAGTTTACCACATAAAAAGATACCCTATGACACACAGAAATGTGTTTTCGTTGAGAGATATTCTCCTATTTCTGCCTGAATCTACAATGCAGTCGGCAATGATAAATTTCTGACAGATAATTTAATTTGTGGAATGCGATTTGGCCCGGTAATGGATTTTATATTTTTCGGGAAAACTATAGTAGAATAAGCTAGTATTTTAATGCAGAGTAGACATGCCCGTAGGTTCGTAAAAGGTCTTAAAATATAAATAATAACAATAACAGTGATAAATAAATTATTTTTATTCCTGTATCTAATTGATCTTCAAGTTTAATTTAATTAAATGTTAATCTATGTAGGCAATACCACGTGGAATTAGAAAAAGTTTATTCATCAATTATTATTTTTTCAATATTTTTAAATTACCAATGCGTACCCACATTATTTTAAAATTTCACTTAAATAGATTTGTTAATTTTTAAAATGCCAATAAAATTATCTGTTAATATTTATTTAAATAATAAATGTGAAACGACAGGAGAAATTCTATAATGAACAACTATGAAATTTAGAAATGGAAAGATGATTTCAAAACTTACACTATACACAAAATATTCGTTGCCATGAAATGTGATATGTTAATTTCCGTGTTTTATTTTACTTGTGTCTGGGAAATTATTCTAGATGATTGAATTCAATATGAGGGCACAAATGTATTTTGTTATTTTTTTTGCTTTGTTTTATCTTTTAATAATAATTTTAAGGTTATTGCCCAACTTTTCCGATCATATTTAAAAAAAAAAATAATAAAAAAATGAGGAAACATAAAGTCAACTTGGTTAACTCTTTGATGTTATAATTATCTGCAAAAAATGTTAAAAAAATTGATTAAATATAGAAAAATAACATACCGAATAACACGATGGGAATTAAAGGTACATATGTATGTACATATATTATTAAATAATAAATATTTTATGCATTCAAACCCAAATTGTTCAAACTTCTTGAAAATTAATTGTAAAAATATATGCAGCTTTTATTTTGTATATAATCTACATACAAGCAATTGCTAACAGCAAGTGCAGCTTTTGTACTTTATTCGATCGATTATTACAATAAAATCGCTTAAAATTAGGTTTAAAATTAATTTTTCAATAAATGAGATGTGAACACAAGCTTCTAATTTAAATAATTACAAATATATTTTTTTGCATAATTGTAAATTTTCCAAAACTAAAAAATTTAGTTTGCACATTTATAAGGTTCCAATACTCTCTTCGATATGTTATATTTTGTTCTCTTTGGTTAATGGCTCCCAGAAATATGCAAAATTTTTGATTCAATCAAGCGAGTACATAAAGCAATTAAAAAAATCCGTATAATTGGACAATCGGCGTAACGCAAATTTACATCACTTGACATGACATAACTACTTAAACTCTTCCAGTTAATTTTACACAATCATAGTGTATTATTACTCCTTTATGGAGCGATTTCCGGTGAAAAACATTACTTTTTTTATTAAATTTGCTTCTTGATTTAGTGAAAGTTTTTTTTTCTTATTGCGTCACTTTTTAGTTTTACTTCGTTTTTTTAGTCAACGTTCTTTAAAAACGTAATATTTAGATTAAATTAATAGTACATACTTTTACAATGTGTTTATTCGATTTGGCTGGAAACTCAATTAATATAACCGGAGTTTGAATACTATTTTATAGTTTATTTTATTACTAAATGGAGCTAAATTCATTTCTAGATTTATAAATTTAAAATTTACCCTAATATTAAATCTAACCACAAACAAAAACTCTTATCTCACCTTAAATTTAAATTTTATTCAACTAGTTGCGTATATGAAGCGTATATGAATGCGTTAATTAGAATGCGTACGTAATGTCATCAGAATGACAATAGAATAAAACTTTCGCTTTTAAGATAAATTTAGAATAACAATATTTGATTTTAAAATTCATAGTATAGCCTGATATTTACCTGAATACGTAATAGAATTTACCTGTAATGATTTTTCAAAATTCAAACGTATAATATAATAAAAAAGAAATTAATAAAAACAAATCAAAAAATGACATTTTATTTCAATTGTAGTTTGTCTTATCTTCAAATCAAAATGCATAATGAAAATGTATGACGAGTTAGTAAGTATGTACGGGTTTTTATTCAAAATTATTGCATAATTATTATAAATATATTCATGTATAAGAGGTAACATAAAAATAGCACGTGCTTTTGTAAAATTTAAAATCCAAAAGCGTAACATGGGAAGTGTGTAAGTATATAATAAGTATTTAAAAAGTAAGTAAGTAGCTACAACGTTAACATATTATTATAATTTATAATGACATGTTAATACATTTTTGCTGTATGGAATGTTAAATATGTTAGAAATTAAATTTTAGGGTATAAAGAAGAAGTAATGACGATAATATTTACGTCAAGTGACTTGGTATAACATAAATTATAACTGTGTTTGTATTTTTATAATTTAATCCTATTCATTTTAGTGTGTCTTATTAAATGAGAAATTTTTCATAATAAATGATGATATGTATGTAATCTTCTTATGTATGTAAGTATGTATATATATTTGTGGTTACATTTTGTACGAAAAACAAATATTTTCGCTGTAGATCTAGTTTAAAATAAGTACATATGTGTAAGGTATGTATTTTGTCTATTTTTTCTACTATTGTATGGTAAAAATCATACATTTTAGTTAAAACTTGAATTTTCCATTGGGATATTAAAAATATTAAACAATGTAATTATGCACTTACATACTTATTACATTTGTAAGTATCTTAGTAAAAATATTGAAATTAATGTAAATTTTCGCAAAAATGAAAATTTTTTCATGTAGAAAAATAATTTGAACTTTATTTAAAAAAATCTGTTGTGGTCAGCACAAACCCGATCACAAGGTATTGTCTTGTTTTGCAAAAATGTTACTTAGAATTAGTAGAGTAGATCTTAGTAAACATGCACTATCTGCCATCGAAAA